CATTTTGGTCACATTTATGAGTTGCCGTTTTTTTTTGTAGGCTAAATATTTATCGGTACACCCTCGTAAATATATGGAAATCAAAATTCTTACCATCTGTTAAAGACTTCCATTATACATTTATAATGTATTTAAGATTCCGTATTTTCTTACAGTGAGTAAGATTATCCGCTGGATATTGTAAGAACTTAGCCCTTCAATTCTAATATAGAATCTAAAGTCTGAAACTCTGCAAAAGAACCATTATTTATTTTGTTCAATCTGAGAGTAGTAAAAACTAAGAAAATTTTTAGGGATCGCTAACAAAATATGTCCCTTGAGCAAAACTCCCATATTTAAAAGCGCTGCATCAGTTCGGCTTACCCAACCTAACTCCCAATAAAACTTATCATTAAAAAAAACACAAATGACTTTTACTGTACAAGGCAGATGGTTCGACTTGATTAAAATTAAAATACATTTTGTAGTTATATAAAGGTACTATGGTAAATTTACTGCAATTTCCGATTTGTCAAGGGTCTCCTTTAAAAGTGGCGTATTAAATATTGCAATTTAGCATTCAGCAAAGTGTTTCGCCAGCAATTCATTAACGGTTGTCAAAATAAACACAGGCAAGTAATTATTTAACATACACGGTATAATCATGAATAAATATACCCATATATGTGACTGTAACGCGCCTATATGTATGTACATACGACAATAATCGATGTAAATTTTCTAAGCACACGAAATTTTACACCATTTTCAATTTATTATTTATTTGCATGCAAATTTTCTAAATTGATTGTTTTTTTCAGTTTTATTTTTGCTTTTGTATATTTACCTAGAATTTGAAATGGCGTTTGTAGAACGCCCAGGCGACCACAGCGGTGTTTTGCATTCTTTTGACGCTAGTTTTCAATATTCTAACACTAATATATTTAGGTATGCCCAGCAGTAAATTATACAGTTTCCATTCACTGACAAAATTGCCCATTGGGGCGTCTGCGACTACACCTGGGAGGTGCATTGCTGCGAAGGTTGCTCTAAGGCAAAGAGAAGCTGGGTACTGCATAGCCGATGAGCTAGCTAGAGGGAGCATCCTTACCACGCTCTCATCGGAATGGGAACGGCTTGGGTCCCCTTTATCATCTAGCGTTGGTCAACGACCACCCTCTGCGCTACTCCGAGATCCTTCTGACCTAGAATAGAACGTAGGAGATCTACTGAGCCATTTGCCTTTAGCAAATCTTGCCGGAATCATAGGAGTTCTTACTGGACATTGTCCAATAGGCATTCAAATCCAGTCGGACGCAAACTGTCAAAGTTTTATGAATGAAGTTGGGGTAAAAACATCCGCGCACTTCCTCCTCCATTGTCCAGCTTTTGCAAAAACATCTCGGAAGTCATAGCTTCTGCGAACCAGGAGACATAGCCGAAACTGACGTTAGCCTCCTCAACAAATTTGTGATCGGTTGAAAGCGCTTTATCGATTTATGAGGGTCTTGATGATCAATTGTATATGTATTTAGGTACCACAACGGACCGGCTATAAGCTGTCTAAATGAGATCTCTGTTAGGATTAACCTTTTAACCTAACCTAACCTAGGTATCAAATTTGGTTCAAACTTGTCGGGTACACTCTGAGATATACAATAGTATTCTACCAATGTTTCTAATAAGTCTAGTTGATACAGCTTTCCAAAGATTCGCATATACATTGTAATCTTCTGCACGCAACTCAAAATTTTTTCAAATTTTACTCAAGTTACCGCTTCCAAGGACGAAACTACGGACAGACGGAGTGATAACCATCCGGAACTTGAGCCGACTTCTAGTCAGACTTAAATATAACTCTATATCTACCTAGATGCTACAAACAATCCTTAGATAAACAGAACTATTGCACAATGACAACGTATCGAAATAACTTGGTGATTACAAAAGATATTGATTCGCCAAATTTTGACATTCTCCATTTCTCTGCTCGCTTCTGCTCTCTTGCCAAAAAAAACTACATGTAAAAGCAACAACACGTTATTGAGTTAAATTCGTTAAAGAGAGTTTGTGGACAACGCATTTAAGTGGTATAGGCCTTATCTTCAAATGACAAATGAAAATACAAATGTCTTTTTTTCTGGTATTCTTGAGACTTAAGACTTAAAATCAAGTATAGTAATTTATAGAAAACTTAAATAAAGGATTACTGGAACAGTTCGTTGGAGCATCTGGTATAGATTGTTCGATTCACACATCTCTAACGTTTGCCGAATTGAAGACAGCTAGTCTTTCATAGAACTCGCAATAAATCTCATAAGCTTGCAGGGCCCTCGTCCGCAGAGTATCGTACCTGCAACACATCTGAGTTGGCATTATTAGAGACTAGTGTTTACCCTCGACCAACCCTTCTTTGGCACAAAGCTTTGAACCAGTAAAATGCGCATGTCTAAACTTTCCTATTTACATGGATAAATAAATAAATGAAAATGATTAATTCAACGCCGCGCTGTTTACTTTACGCTATGCGAAACGTAAAATTCCAGCGCAGTTCGTTATTGCCACATTTTTACGCACTGACAATTACGAACAAGCGCGTCACATTCACATATACACAAGGGAGTTTCTGCGAGTGCATACTCATGTGTCTATCTATATATGTATATTTTGTTTTCATTGTTGCTTTGCTGCCACATATTTCTATATTTTTCGGCGCTTATATTTACGCCACATACTAAATTTCCTTTGCATACAAACACCAGAAAATCGCCTGAATGCACTCTTAAACAAACAACCGTTATTTGCCACTCGCGGTTTCACCTTCGCGCCTTTGCCATTTTATTAGAAATTGTAAATAATTAAAATTTTTACAGTGAAAATATTTTATATACTATTTAAGTATATGGTATTACTATTGGCGATCGCCGTAGCCAAATAGACTTAGTGCGTGACTATTTCGAAGTGTGTTGCGTGTTTAGATCCATCGGGTTGAATCTAAAATCGTACTTGTAAAAATACCGGTTTGTACTCTAGCAACATATTGCACTAAGGTATATTGTATGTCTATCCGCCCGTCTATGTAAGCGATAATTTGAATATACATAAAGGAATCAGTCACTGGAAAAAGGTTAGACTGCCGTCCGGAAAATTTCCCGTCGTACAAAAAGACTTAACTCAGCCACGATTTAGACCACAATGCTTAAACTTTTAAAAGCTTGATCTGAGTTCGCCATCTAGCATTAGGCATCAGCACCCTATCCCACAGAGTGAATATTTAAAATATCGGGTAACAAAAAAAAATTCCATCGGTGTAAAATATAATGCGTTCACCAAAAATGTCATTCAATAAACTGATTGTTTGGTTAGCTATATGCCTAGAGCTATATGCTAGAGCCCTCTTGTTGGAACCAAAGGTCGTCCGCACTAACATCATCAAATTCTGGCACGAAAAAGTCGTTAATCATGGCTCTATAGCTCCATTGACTGTAAAATTTGGCCCTCATCATTTTTAAAGAGATATGGACCAATCATTCCTTCTGCACATAAAGCACACCAAACAGAGACTTTGGCTTGTGCAATAATAATCACTTGTGGATTATCCTCACTCCAAATGCGACAATTTAGAGACGTACCCATTCAACCAAAAGAAATCTTTATCGCAGAAAAAAATTTGTGAAACCCGGGGACGGTCGCCATATCGTTTTGAGCCCATTCACCGAACGTGCGACGAACTTGACGTTTGGCTTCAATTCCTGCACGAGTTTGATTTTGTAAGCCCGCAAACCAAGATCCTTTCGCAAAATTTTCGATTAAGTGGATGGGCACGGCTCCAATTCATGCGGGCGATGGTAAATGGACTCACTCGGGTTTTCTTCAATACTCTGCCCCACAGCAACAATAGCGTCTTCGGTGCGAACTGTGCGACGTTTCTGAGGATGCCCCTTATCAACTAAAGTGAACGTGGTGTGAAACCAATCTCTGGTTGCGAATCACCGACTCTGCTGAACGATTATGTCTACCGAATATTGAACCGAGTCCGCGATGCTTCGTGTAAACCGTGTGGGCTAAAAATCTTGAAAAATTTGGCGTTAAAGCGCGATAAATATCTTACTGACTTTCAAAATAATATAAATATGATACCAAATTTGATTTTAATCCATTTACGATTTCGTCGAACAATGAAGTTAAACCCTTTCGCTATTATTTAGCCGCCCTCTAAGGTTAGACCTAACTTCATAAGATGACATGTAAATTTAAATCAAGTGGCGCTCTCTCATAGAAACAATCATTCTATCCGGTATCTACCGCTACTGAAAAGGAGAAACAGTTGCCACGTTCGGAGCTTTCAAAAATCGAATTTCGAGAATTACGAATATATTCCTGAACTAGCTTTCGAGCTAGAGGTCCCATTTTATGTGATATTTCCAATTTCGTGCCCTGTCTTGCATAAGAAAACTCGTCGAAATTAATTAAAAGTCCTTATGTCAATTCCCACACTTTCATAAGCATGCTATAATGAGAGTATGGTGTAAACATGCTTATTGTAATGTTATTATAATAATGTGTGAAAATAATAACACATTTATGTAATTCATGGTTACTTCCAGTGCATGTACGTTATTATTTCAGAAAGTTCACACTTGGTCACAATTTTCTTGCACAAAGTATTAGGTACAAATCATAGATTACATTTTAATTGCAAATACCGCAAAGTAGTTTCTATACCTTTGCTAGATGTTTGGCCACGCTTCTCCCCTATTTGTGGCGGCAAAAAAATTAACTGTTAGCCGCTTTTCTATGGGCGATAGATTTCATGAGAAGTTTGATCATTGTAAAAGTACACTTAGTTGAAATTATTAAATTAAACTTTTTGTCGAAAAGGGTAGAATATTGGGAACACAACCTGGTCCTGTAGAGCTGCGGTGCACAAATCCAGTAACTATTAAAAATTATTGATATTTCAATTATGATCTCAACTTAGTATAAAAACAAAGTGAGACAGGTAAAGGAGTACAGTTGGCAACAGCACGTACTACTCCAAACTCGCATCATGTCCTTTGATAGAATTGCAAATTCGCGGTTTGGGATAAAGCTACTAACGATTCTTGGGCTCTGGTCCGCGGCTCGTAATAGTTCTACGTTTTTCGGACGATATTACCGGTATTACCAATTCGTATTGAATACCACGATGACATTTACCTTCACGCTGCTCTTGTGGATGGAAATCATACTTAGTGGAGATGTTGACTATGTGTTCCAATGGATGAGGCTCGCAATCACTGAAACTTGTCTCATCGTTAAAGTTCTCAACATTTGGTACCATGCACAAACGGCTAATGAGTTGCTTCAAGAATGGGACAAAAGTGATATGTTTGCTTTAAAGACGCTTGAGGAACAAAAGATGTGGCAGGGCGCTCAACGATACTTCCGAAAGGTTGTAGCAGTCTATTCGCTTCTCAGTATTTGCTCGGTGTTTATGGCTTTGTTCTCCGTTTTCTTCATGGACACACTTGCACTGCCCATCCCATACTGGATGCCAGCATCATGGCGCGGAAGTAACGCGTGGCCTCTATTCTTGTACGAAGATATAGTCGTGCCGTTCAGTTGCTTATGCAACACCCAAATCGAATTTTTTTTGTGTTATTTAATGTTCCATTTAACTCTTTGTCTGCGCATGATTGGCATACGGATGGAGCGATTGGGTGATCAAGTGAACGATGTGGAGATCACCACTGAACTTGAAAACATAATAAAAATTCATCAAAGAATTGAGGGGTGAGTTTCGGTGAAAAAAAATTCACAATAATTGATTGATGTGTAATGATGTTCATTTTTTACGCAATTCTTTAGTATGGCCAAAAGTTGTCAGAAAATCATAATGTGGCCTGTGCTGGCGCAGATTATATTCAGTTCTCTCATCATTTGCTGCTCTATTTACTCTATACAACGAGTAAGTTTTGTAGTTATTCTCCAACTGTGTCAAGTATTTGACAACATTTATCATTACTTAGATAAGCTTTAGTGAGAATCCATCTAATTTTTTGGGCTTTATACAATATGTCGTGGCTATGGCTTTGGAAATATTTCTACCATGTTATTATGCCAACGAAATAACCGTAGAATCAGAGAATTTGAGCAACCATCTCTACAACTGCGATTGGACTGTGATGTCTCTATATAACCGTCGTCAAATTTTTCTTTACATGGAGCATTTAAAACAGCCCATAACTTTGTATGCGGGCAACTATTTTCAAATTGGGTTGCCGGTTTTTTCGAAGGTATTTCAGGAAAGATTTTCATTTACATGCTACAAATATTACTTATATCATAATTTTTACTTTTTAGACTATGAACAATGCCTACAGTCTCCTAGCTCTGCTGGCCAATGTCAATGAAGAAGAGTGAGAATATAATTGAATCGCATAATCACCATGGAAGACACTTATGATCTAATGGGAGTCAAATAAATAATTTTAGCTTAAATAGAAAAACCGATCACACAAATTATTTATATTTATACCCTGAACAGGGTATATTAAGTTTGCCACGAAGTTTGAAGACTCAGAAGAAAACGTCGTAGTTCCTATTAAATATAGCACGACGAGCTGAGTCGATTTAGCCATGCCCGTCAGTCTACCGTCTATCTGTATATATGCGAACTAGTTCCTCAGTTTTTATTCTCTTGCAACACGTTGCTTCAGACTATACAAGTTTTTTTCACCTAACGGTTGGCTGTATCACCTAAAACTAATCGAGATAGTTATCGAGTTATATATGGTATATATAAATGATCAGGATGACGAGACGAGTTGAAATTTGGTTGACTGTCTCTCCGTCCGCCCGTACGTTCGTGCAAGCGATAACTTGAGATATCTTAATGAAACTTTGTACACATATTCTCTGGCACCCAAGGTAGATTGATATTGCAAATGGGGGGAATCGGGCCACGCCCACAAAACGCATTTAATTAAACACAAATAAATTATCATAACTAAGCCGCAAATTAAAATATAAAACTGATATTTTGTACAGGAGATCGCAGTAGTGAGGGTCACCTGGGGATTAAAAAGTTAAAAAGGGGGCATGGATCCGCCCCTAAATGGTTTAATGCAAATATTTTGGAAAACGGCTAAATATATATCAACCTAACTTGCTGAGAAGAAGTCGTTTTATCAAAATGTTTCATTTGTAGAAACCGATAGCGGATCACTATCAGCTATAGTTATATGTCATACAAACTGAACGATCGGAATCAAGTGCTTGTATGGAAAATTCTTTCATTTGATGAGAAATAATCAAAAAATTTGGCATGGGATATTATCCAAGACAACGGTTCAATGTTCGAAGAAATTATTTAGATCAGATTGGATTACTATAGCATATAGCTACTATAAAAACTGACCGATCGAAATCAAGTTCTTATGCGGTATCTTTGGTATTTGTAACGGGTATTATAGCTTCAGTGCAACTTTTTCTTGTTTTATGTATCTTAAGTCATGATACAGCATACGAGTAAGTACATGGGGGGCTATCTAGATATTCAGGAAACATAAATGAAGGAAAAAAGTTTCCTTGTTCTATGCCGGACTCAATGGCAGCAAGGATCAGTGATAACAAATTTGAGTCTATTCTTGAAGAACCGTCTTCCCGAATCATCAAAAAGACTTTGGTAACATATGCCAACCACATTCGACATCTAACAGACAACACATCGGACGCGGTAATTACAAAGGTATACTTTAGACCATTCACATGGAAAAAATTTACACACTCTCTTTCTTCACATAGGTGAGATTTGAAGGAAATAAAACTTGGTGCGTAATTACGCTCTGGGTTCTGTAGCTGGTTAAACTTCAGACTTAACCCCGACACACCAGTTAAATGTCCTCAACGATAGGAGTTGTCTAAAATTGATAATAGGTGTGGAAAACAGGGTCGATCTTCGACTATTTAGAGCTTTAGCTCTAGCTGAATAAAATATATTATGTTACATGTACATCGTGATTATAAATTTAGACAAGACCATTATAAACGGGATCTTTAAGGAAACCGGCATTTTCGGTCCCTCGGTTACTACATAACTACAACAACCTCATTTTGATATCACAATAATTTAAATTCACGCGACTCGGCGCAAACCAAACTCAGTAAGAAATAGTTTATATTATGTTGATAGAAATAATTTATTAATCATCGTGGATATATGACGGCTGATTCATTTGATAACTAAACCCCCGCTGGACTGGTCTTCCTTACTTTTGACTGCTCAACTCAATATCCTGGATGAAGACTCCTTTCAAAACAGGTAAAAATGATATGTTGCTTATCAGTGTCAGATATTTCCAATGATGCGCAAATAAATAAATACAACAACCAACGGAGAAATAATATACTTGATTGTTGTTGTGTTTGACAGCTGGTGGTGGAAATAGTGAAACCACAACTAGCGAACCAGGACAGCAGTTACCATAGATAAGTGCGCAGATATGTAGATTTGTGAAAACGGAAGAGCTCAAGCAAACACCAAAAATGCCAACAGCGACGTTGGTTCGTCGTCATCCTTTCGGCTTGTGGTGGTCTCGATGGTGGCGACGCCTTGGCTTTCTTGCGCGCTTGTCATTCTCCTTGCGATGCGCGCTTAACTCAAAGCTAACCAAACACTGTTGATTCTGCCGCCATATTTATTGTTGTTGTTGCTGTTTCGCATTGCATTGAAAGTCAGAAAAATGTAAGAAAATTCATAATATTCATGAGTTTAGTTTAATGAAGTGCCAATGGCAATAAAAATGTTTCATTATGGAAATCCGAGCTAAAACCAAAACTCCGTAAACCCATAATGCGGTTGTGAGGGATGGCGATGGCGGAGGTGCAACGGTGGAAGGAGAGCGCACATAATCGCCGCAGCAGCAGCAGAAACCGCAACGATGGCGTCAAGCTAAACGTTCACACTACTCCGGGTAGTGGCCCTTCGGTCGGTCGGTTGGCGACAGGAAGCACCGGGGCATAGGAAGTGATGCGACTGCCATGCCTTCAGCGCTTATCTTTTTCTCCGCTGATAATTTTTCACTTTCGCAAGACGACAGCAGCACGGCGGTGTACTGGTTGTTATGTGCGACCTCGCCATCTAAACTCATTAAAAATACGTAGCGACGATATTCAACCGCAGCCAGTACCAATGGCATGGTCGGTGTACCTCCTTATCCGACAATCGCTCAGCAATCTTGCACTCTATTTTTTCGTAAGGCCACTTCTTGCTCACTCCGCTCGGACAAACAATGCATTGCCTGGCCCATAAAGGTTTTGTGAGATTCTTTCGCTTTACCAAACTAACTGAACAGCTTTTACGCTAGCGCGCCTGAAAGTATGCCATCTCATGGACCACACGCTCACTTGCATTGGAAATATGCTAATATATTATTTTAAGTTTTGCGTTTGATAATTTTTTTGCTTCGTTTGTCAGCTGTTCACTTTTTAGCCGCTATGATAAGAATTGCAAATACTTTTGAGTAAAAGTTTTATAAAAATGCGGACACTTCTCACGCTCACACCAAGCATAGCAGCGCGTATGAATGCGTTTTCAAAACTTTTCGCCGCTTTTCGTTATTGATGTTCTCTCTTGACGACGTCAGCTTGTTGCTGCATACTTTTGTCGGTAATTAAGCTAGCTGGTGGTGTGTGGATTTTCATTGTTAAGGATAAGTTTATTTCACACACACAAATGAATGATTAATTAGGATATAATGTGGTTCCTGACAGCCTTACGATACTTATGCTGCTGCTTATCTTACTAATTCAAAAACAAAGAAAATACATATTTGTTTGTTGAGGAAAAAAATGTCAGAACAGGCACTTATACATATTCGCTTCAATTAATATTTGATAGTAGCTTAAATTTAGCAAACATGCGAAACACTTCGGGGAATGGACCAGGGCACAGTGGTTTCGCCCATACGCAAAAAAATAAAAAAAATTTATTAAATAAAAAAATGGCGAAAAAGTAAACAAAATTTCTCTAAAATGTACAAACTTCTTAATGGAAACCGTTTCTTTTTTTTGAAATCTAACGGAACTTTCCAAAAATGGCATTGCAGTTGTGACCACTTATTAATTTTTTTAAGAGCAGTTGCACGTAGCGTGAATATTTCACAACAAAAGTTCAAAGTAGATTATTCTTAATGGATTTTGAAGTTGAAGGTATTTATTTTATGTTACAAAATTAACAAAAGTTCACTTGTGTTGTAGTTATTTTCAAATCGATAATTTAGTTTACCCTGTACTTTATGCATTTCATGTGCGTCTTTGATATGTTTATATACAGTTTTAGTTGTGTTCCCCACGATTCCCCCATTCATTTTCCTTTCAGTGTATTTGTGTATATTTTGAGGTAATAAAAAAGTTAAATACAGCTGCCCAAATTGGCCTATATGCGAATAATCTGCAATATACTAACGTCATCTTTTTCATTCAAAATGAAATTTGCCTTGAAAAGCCACTGCTTTGCCCTGTTATTATGCTATATTTTTATGTTTTTTAATAATCCTGACATATCTGCCGATATTACGGAAATTGATAAAGTTTTAATGCTCAGAGCCTCAACTTGGTTGCAAGCCATATCTATGGGTTACAAGATTAATTCAGCGAAATTTAGCGAGACTTGCTCTTGAAACCACAAAGCAGTGGGTTGTCAAATATCCCTGGTTTTAATTCTCTTCATCGGTGCCTAAAATTTTACTTCATGATTTTGAAGTTATAACACATTCCTTGGTTCCGATTGGAGAACTTCCAGAAAAATTTGCAGAGGCAAGGATTAAAGATTAAAGAAAAAGGTTCTGTTTACCACATTCATGGAATAATTCAAGAGTCGTTTCATATACAGGTGTAATGAACAGATGGCTTATAAGCTCTGAACCCTTTATTTCTGTGCTACGAAAACTTGCTTATAACCACAAATCAACGCTACTAATGTCAACTATAGATTTACTTGATGAGACAATATGAAAGTTGTTTATAAAAATGTTGTGTTGTTTCTAATTATTGTATTTAAATGTTTTTCTCGTTTCATTTTTCTATTATCACAACATTTTTGAGAAGCCAAAAATAAATGCGAATATTCTTGAAAGTGTGTATTTTACTTTTGAAATGTATTATTATTAGTAAAACCATGCCCAGTTTCTCTTAAAATAACACAAAATTATCGATTCGTTACTGACTGTTACTATGGCAGCTATAGGATCAGATGTGCCCAATTTGTTTATAATATATTTATCATATTTTTATAGAGTTTTGGTGAAAAACTCTAAACAACATTGGATCTAAAAGTATTTATGGGCGCCGCACCCATTCAAGCGAAATCACAGCGCAGTGGAAATAATATATTTATGCTCTCTCTTATTGAATCAAAAATTTCGCCACCCTGGCCCAAGGAAACAGTACCTTTTCAAACAAATTGTTCAGAACGGACCACTATAGCATAAAACTGCCATTCAATTAA